GTAAGAGCGCACAGACGTCCTGACAGAACAGAGAATGCCTTTGCTGGAAATGGATTTTCACGTGCTTGGTCTCCATTCTCAAGTTTCCTCCTACAAATGATTTGATATTTTAGCTTCAATGTCAGAGGTCGGTTCACCGATGAAAAATAAATGCTCAAGACTTAAGACAAGAACTGCACGTTGCTACATTATAGCTAAATAAAACTTTTCTTTCTTCGAGATAAATAAATAAATAATACACGTTGTAACAGTAGTCTCCGCATACGATCCCATCGCTTTTTTAGAAAACATACTTTCTACGATACAAAAGTCATCCCTAAGATCCCGCTTAGAAGGTCTAAATTAGGCTATATTCGGCTAAGATCCCGCAAGTCAGATTATTATTTACGGAACAAAAACCTGGGCGGGCACAGCAGATCAATTCAACCAAGAGTGAAAATTTCCCCGTTGGATCATAGATCAGCCACTCTCATGAATAAAATGATCACATGTCCGTTGTAAATCTAGGTAAAACGGAATAATTTTTGCCCCCGACGGAGTCACACCGAGGTGTGAACGGACCAACGCGTTTGTTTTCCCCAAACATCGCACTCGCATCTGAGCTCTCTACCTAAACTTCCATCACACGCTGGGTGGGTAGGTCCAACAATTCGCTCCAGGCGGGATAACATAAAACTGTGAACTCTTCAACAGTTGTCTCTACTCCCAAATTTACGAGACTGATTTAATTTTAATTGATGTGGTGAGAACACAATGGTGCGTAAAGACTAAGGATGGGGAACTCGGTCAGACATGGAAAGCTATAACTTTTGGACAGGTAAAGGGGAGGAGTAACTGGATAGATGCAGATCTTGAGACTCAGGATAGAATAATAAGTGAAAATGTCATGCCTTATGCCGTGGGGTCTGGTCATCAAGGCTGACTACTCTTTGCTCGCCATAAGTTATAAACCCACCCAGGGGTCATGTCAGTTCATTCTAAACTAAAGGGAGTTCATGTTACCAGTTGTTAGTCTGAACTTGAGTCACCGTGGATTCTTCCCTAAGCGCGTCGGCTAAGGTCCCGTTCGCCTAAGATCACGTATTTTTCTTGCTCCCGAGCACCGGGATCTTAGGCGAAGAGATAGATCTACACGCATAAATATAGCCTGGCACGCACATGACGAAATCGGCGGGGCACGAATATATTTTCAATTTGTACGAAGTTTAGGCTTTGTCAAGAGAGATGACAACGTTGGACCATTAGGTCAAAATTTTAGATGAATTATGCCCCTTAGTGGCATTAGCCCACTTCACCATGCTTGTTGGGTGCACAGTCACTTTGCAATGCCGAGTTTCGGTTTTTACATAGATTTGTTACATCTAGACTCTACCTCTGTTAAGATGGACTAAGAAACCTTTCCACTTCTTTTGCCCTACCATGATCCATTCTTTAAGAAAACTTCACCTAGATCTAAGAGAGAGAGAGAGATTGAAAGAGAGAGAGAGAGAAAGAGAGAGAGAGGGAGAGAGAGAGAGAGAGAGAGAGA